ATATATTTGTCAATAATTGACTAATGAAATATGAATCACAAAATAGATGTGCATTGTCACATCTGCTTGGCTGATCATGATGATTATATTTTATGCGAAACATGCAAATTAATCTTTAACCTTTTTTCCATTAATATTTTCTTACAGCATATACTGTCTAAAGACTGCAAGACACATTTAGGCTCTTGCGGGTCCAAGAGCGCAGCATTTAGACGATTGAAATGCCCCCAAAAATTTTCGCTCGGTCGCTACGCTCCGTCGCTTGATATCCTTCAAAGTATACAATTAAATATAATTATAGAAAATCTGCATTGCGTTGGTATAACCATGACACCAACATAATACAGATTTCCCCTCGCATTTAGTTGTCCCCCCCCCCCGGTTATAAAACTAAATTACCGCCCCTGCTTCCAACTAGACCATATAGAGACTCTCAATTGCAATTAATACCCCATCAAAAAGATCATTTGAAGTGGATCACAGCTTAGTTTCATCTTAAGTAAGACGTTTGGAGCTCGGACATAGATATATACAAAATTATACAAGTTGTTTCCTGGTTATTTATTGCATATATTAATATAACAACATGATCTGACATACAGAAGTATAACCATGACACCAACATAATACAGATTTCCCCTCGCATTTAGTTGTCCCCCCCCCCCCCGGTTATAAAACTAAATTACCGCCCCTGCTTCCAACTAGACCATATAGAGACTCTCAATTGCAATTAATACCCCATCAAAAAGATCATTTGAAGTGGATCACAGCTTAGTTTCATCTTAAGTAAGACGTTTGGAGCTCGGACATAGATATATACAAAATTATACAAGTTGTTTCCTGGTTATTTATTGCATATATTAATATAACAACATGATCTGACATACAGAAGTATAACCATGACACCAACATAATACAGATTTCCCCTCGCATTTAGTTGTCCCCCCCCCCCCCCGGTTATAAAACTAAATTACCGCCCCTGCTTCCAACTAGACCATATAGAGACTCTCAATTGCAATTAATACCCCATCAAAAAGATCATTTGAAGTGGATCACAGCTTAGTTTCATCTTAAGTAAGACGTTTGGAGCTCGGACATAGATATATACAAAATTATACAAGTTGTTTCCTGGTTATTTATTGCATATATTAATATAACAACATGATCTGACATACAGTAGACTTGCGGGTGTACCATGTGAGAGAGGGAGAGAGAGAGAGAGAGAGGATTGAGGAGTCCTGAAAAGGACTCTCGGTAATCTTCCTTGAGGGTGTGTAGTCTTGAAAAAGACTGTTGGTTATCTTTCTTTATTATAGTTCTAAGGAGAACTATAGCGCTTGGAGAGGATGAGTGGCAGGAGTGGCTCGACGTTTCTAACAGGTTGACTATCCATCGTCAGGAGATCTGACATATTTAATATATTTGTCAATAATTGACTAAGAAAATATGAATCACAAATTGATGTGCATTGTCACATTTGCTTGACAGATCATGATAATTATATTTTATGTGGAAGCATGCAAATTCATCATGAATATGCATAATGTAGATTGAACTGGTTCTCCAACTGGTATATAAACTAGTATTCTTCTGGTTTTCAACTGGTAAATCAATTGGTAATCATCTACTGATTTTCAAATGGTTAATCAACTGGTAATCATCTACTGGTTTTCAACTGGTAAAGCAACTGGTAATCATCTACTGGTTTTCGACTGGTAAATCAACTGGTAATATCAACCGGTTTTTCAACTGGTGCCAGTTTGCGATGGTTCAATGTCCATATTAAAAACCAGTTGAATATACTGGTTTCAACTGGTACCAGTTGACCTAACCTATAAACTGTATTGGTGCAGTACGACAGTCACTACCTTTACACTTGTCAGATTTGTTGAACTAAGGTAGTTTCAGAAAAAATGCTTATTGTATTAGGACTATAATTGTCATGATATTTACGTTAACTTGGACACTAAAGCTTTTGTTCGTTTTAGCCCATTTACAGTCTGTGCATGTTAGGAACGTAATGTAGATTGAACTGGTTTGTCAACTGGTAAATCAACTAGTAATCATCTACTGCTTTTCAACTGGTAAATCAACTGGTAATCATCTACCGGTTTTCAACTGGTCAATCTACTGGTAATATCAACTGGTCTCAGTTGTGCACTGGCACTCGTTCTCATCTGTTACCCTGTACGCTCTTTCCTTTGCCTTCTCCCCTCTCTCTATTATCTCTCCGCATTTCTCACCATCTCCTCTTTAATTCTACTTATTATCTTATAAATGCATTCATGAATTGGAACCAATAAATTTGCAAGAACTGATCCAGGAATACAAACCCTCACGCAATCTACGGTCATCTTCACAATTAAACCTCGTTTCTACTTTGGTGTCAACTCTTTCTCATGGCCATCGCTAGTTTTGAAAAGCTTCTGCTGAACTGATTAACTTAATCTGTTCACATTGATGTGAATTTCATAGGTATTGTAATTTGTAGGTTTATTTGAACTTTTTTGTTTTGTTTAATGTGTAATTGTTTATCAGTCTCTTTTGTTCGTTATAGCGCTTAGAGACTTTGGTGGTAAGCGCTTTATGAGCAACGTTTTTATTATTATCGTTTCTCTTTTCCCTCCCTGCCCGCTTCTTGTATCTCTCCGTTTCTCTTTGTTTTCACCTTTTCTCTTCGCTCCTTATATCCCCCTCTCTCTCCCTGATGTTTTTCCTTTCAACCTTTCACTCTATCTATATCGCCTTCTCTCTACCCTTCTTTCTCTTACCCAACTTTCTATCCCCGCCCACCTCGCTCTCTCTTTGTTTCATTTTCTGTCCACCCATCCTCAACTCCCTCCTTTCTTTTTCTCTCCCTCTCCCTCTCTCTCTCTGTCTCTCTCACTCTATCTCTTTCTCTCTCTCTCTCTCTTTCTCTCTCTCTCTCTCTCTCTTTCTCTCAAAGGAAACCTCGCCCCAAGAAATAACTTGACTTATTTTTTAGAGATTTATTATATTCTTGTCCATCAATCTACAAGATTCCCCACCAAAGTGTATGAGAGAGGCATAAAGCAAGAATAATGTACAGTTTCTCAGCAGGACACGGATATCGCCATTTTCTTGATAACGTGGCGTTCTATGTGAAGTCGTTCATCAAGTAAATGTATTCTCATTTATGAATGCTTCTCTTCACAGGTGTGTGTGGTCATGAATTATTTCATTCACCTGCTATTATCATTTGTACTACAATAATATATTGCCAGAAAGCAAATTGCATAAATAAGTTAGTGCTCTTCCGGGGTAAAGGTTTCTCATGAATGAAATAGATTTGTCACCTGCTGTATTTTAGTATTTTTAAATGAATTAGTTACAATTCTTCCCCTGTTATACATTTTCCACCAAATATAATTTCTATCTTTACAGCTATGATCTTTCCTCATTGAAAAGTAATGGTTTTGTTATTAAATTTAAAAAGTATTTCTAACTCAAGATTGGTGCATAATACATGTACAACTTCAACTGGTACGTTACCTTCTCAAGAAAATGGTTGCGCCTACTAGGCACGTAGCCACGGGGGGGGGGGGGAGGGCACATGCCCCCCAAAAATGTCCAACATCGGTTGAACTTTTTTAGACCCCTGTTTTTACCTCGATCGATTACATGTATGTGCCCCCCCCCCCAAACATCAAACTCTGGCTACGTGCCTGCCCATTTCATATTAAAGGACATTACATGATTCACATCATGCCAAAAATATCTTCATTTATATATCTCTTGTACATTTTCGAAAGGTATATTGTAAATCAAAAGGCAGGAACACATCTTATTTTTTTAAATACTTACATTTATTATTTTGGGTGAGGTTTCCTTTAGCTCCTTTTCCCGTTCTCACTTTCTCCCCTTCCTTCACTCTTTGCACTTTCTCTGCTTATATACACTGTATATATTATATATAAACTTTATATATATATTATATACCTCTCTGGCAATAAGAAACAGGCTGTCATTATTATGTTTTTCGATAGTTTATGGTAATTCATTGATAAATACTGATTACGCATGTTATATAAACTGTAAGAAACATCAAGAATTCTTTTAAAACAAGTGACAGGATCGATTATTCATATTTCAAAAATACATTAAATAAAACACTTGATAAAAATCCCCATTCTTATTTCTTTTAAAAACAAAAAAACACATCCTTGGTTATTCCTTCTCCATTTCCCTGAATATATAAAAACCCAGTACCGGTATAGTGTATTAGAAAATAAATGCATATTAATAAGTTCCCCATATCTTTCACTTAAAATAACATACGTTAGACACCAATGGTACAATAATGTAAGGACTTTTCAATTTCATTCATCCCAAATTCCAATAATTTGATAAAGCCCGGATAATGCATGGTAAAAAAACGAGTGAGGGCGTCAGCGGATATTTTACCGATTAGACATGGATTAGGAGTGTTTGTCCAACCCGTTTTGAGTCGGTTACAATATGAATATTGTATAATTCACTGTATATAATTCATCATCTACCACTTTGAAAATGAGTGATGGCCTTTCATCATTAAAGCGTATACATCCATCTTAACATCAAGTTGACGAAAGCCAAAATATTAGAAAAATGTCCGTGAAGTTGTTAGAAAAATTTGACAAAAATTTGACAAAAAATCAGAGAGTTATAAAAAGTTTGGAAGAAAAACTGTTATTTGAAGACTAATTAGATTTTGTACTAGATATGTTTGTATGCAATAAACATACGTGTATAAAGCAAAGGAAACGACGGATTGCAAATTTGTATAGAGATCTCCAAAACTTATTTTAAAAAAAAACTTTTTATTATCCATCTGCATGATTTTTTTAAACTTTTGGTGGATAATTTTCTATTTTTTTCAGCTTAGACAGAAATAAGGAAGTACTTGGCAAGCTTGTTCGGAAAAATGAAGTCAAATTACTTCCTCGTTTCCATACATGGCTGGAAAGTGAGTGATTACTTTTGTAGTAAAGACCCATTAGCCGAGAGAAAACAAAATCACTTTAAATGTACTTATTGCAAATATGATTTTATACAACCCCTGTATGAAAGAAGTTTATTACATCGTCAGTTACTAAGAAAATGAAAGTTTATGCAATTTTCTTTACAGTGCAAATTGTAGAGGAACTCGCAATATGCGTCACAGTATTGACAATTCTGTGTTTCACTGATGACAACTTATTTCCTATTTTTTAAAACTTTTAATCGCATTTAATTTGCTCAAACTTTCACAAATCGGTTTCTCTCATTTTTCTGCTTTTATTAAAACCAATATAATATCAGGGTGGACTTTACTGTTATCAACTTGTACAATGTATATACGGACTGAAAAGTGGTTTTCAGAGGCATTCCAAGAACTGACAGAACATTGAAATACGTTTTTAATACTGGAAATTTATCCGTCGCCCGCGCATTTATATTCTTTCCCATTTTCAGAGCACACGAAGATAGAGATGCAAGTTTACTTCCTATTTTTCTTCGTTCATTTCAGCCTTCACCTGATTCATCTGATTCGGGTAGGGGGTTGTATCTGATGGTTTTTGTCCGTGTTGTTCTCTCAGTCGAACTCTAAAATTAATATGGAATGAAAATTATTATGCATGAGAAACGTGATTTCTTTTAAAAAGCAAGGATCGAACCTTATCAGATTCTATCTCCTTATACAGTGCGTACCAGAAAAAACGAAACCGAGAATTATAGATGTTTTATCATAACTTAATCATAATTATAATTAATAAATGACACATATTCGTAAAGCTTAGATCCTCCTCTTTTATTTGATGCAACTCATATGACGCATATTTCACGCATGAGTGATTGAGATGAATTTGAAGAGAGGAAACCAAAAAGTAATTGGGCGGACGGTATCTGAATTTCAAAGAATAAATCACATTTCTAGAAAGTTGTGTTTCTGCCCTTTCATATGACACCGCAGTCAGGAAAAATGAGCTAGGAATAACAAAGTTCTGTTTGTTTAAAATAGTGCTTGCATTTCCATAATTCGTCCTTGTTTTCACGAAGTGACGGTAGTGAGGAAAATCGTAACGCAAAGTGAAAGCAATTTTTTTTCACTACCGTCACTTCGTGAAAACAGCGACGAATTTTATTAAACTAATTCGTTTTCACTGGCTGCCTGCCGGAGCATCAAGCAGAATTGACAAAAGACTTAACTCCGTTTCGTTGACAATCAGCCATGCATGAAGTCTTTCGTCTACGGCTGATTGTCAACGAATTCGTTTGATAAAATTATGGAAAAGCATATGAAAGAAGAGGATCTAAGCTTTACAAATATGTGTCATGTTTTAATTATAAATGTGACTAAGTTATGGTAAAACATCGATAATTCTCAGGTAAATAGTAATTTGTAAAATAAAACAATATTACTTGAGAAAAAGAAAACGAGATTGGGGACGAGCGAGCAAGAGAGAGAGGGAGAGAGAGAGAGAGAGAGAAAGAGGGCGAGAGAGAGGATTTAAGGGGAATGAGAGAGAGGGGGAAGGAAGACTGTGAAGAGAGAGAGGGGGACAAATGGATGTAAGAAGGAGAGAAAGAGAGAGAGAGAGAGAAAGATAGAAATACAGAGAAAAAAGGAAGTACAAGAAAGAGAGAAAACTTTTAGAATTCCATCCAGTACATGATAAAGATAGACCTAAAATAACAGAGAGAGAGAGGAAGAGGGGGGGGGGGAGAAAGAAAGAAAGAAAGAGAAAGATGGGGAGTGAGAGGGGGAGAGAGGGAAATAAAGAGAGAGAGAGAGAGAGAGAGAGAAATAATAAGATGAATTCGCCATTCTCAACCCACCATAGTCCCTATCGCCATGAGAATTCCGACGATAAGGCAAGCGAAGGCGAAGCAGAAGAAAGTGATGGGGGCGCCAACGTGTGAGACTCCGACCCCAGCAACCACGGCGCCAATCCCGAGTCCACACAGATAGAAGCCCGACAGACACCCCTGCAGGGTGGCTAGGTTCTCGGGGTTCACCTCCCAACTGAGCCGAGCCACCAATACATTCCAAGTCAGAGCGTGGGACATTCCTAATAATCAGGTGGAAAATAAGAAGAATATTATTTATTTTTAAAAAGAATTGTGACATCACTAACTCTTATTGGTATAGATTTGACGCGGAAACTTAAATAAGAATAGAGAATTAGAGGGGGGGTGGGGGGGCGTCGGAATCACATCAAAGTAAAGTCTGATACTGACTTATTTTAATTGGTAACAATACAGGTTTCTATTTAAGAAATTGAAATGACTCCAAGGAAGCCTAACACAAATATATACATTTTTACATTTAATTTGAAATTAATATTAGTGAAAGGTGTGGGATGGCTTTAAAAATCTTATTTTCACAATACCTCCCTTCTCTCCCATTACTTTTCTTTCTCCTCTTTTTTCCTAGATGGGGGCCGATGCCCCCGTGCCCCCGGTAGCTACGCCACTGCCTCTGATATCAACTTACCGTGGATAATCTGTACAGGCAGGATACCAAACGGTGAGGTAATGAGTGCATAGCCAAGGAAGCAGAGGAGGTAGCCTATAGCTCCGCACGACAGGAGTACGACGTGGCCTCGGGACTTGATAAGCTGGCCTAGGTGGAAGGCCAGAAAGAGCTCCGAAACGCCGCTCACAATGCGGGCCGACTTCACCAGGATGTTGGGACTCCCTGTCAAAAAAGAAAATCGTGAAGAAAAAGAAGAGAATATGTAGAGATGGTTAGAGAAACGATAAAAATTCAAGAATGAAATCAATCAAGAAATATTCATTAGAGTGATACATACCATAGGACTAAGTTGGCTACAGGGTGCTCTAGAATGCATAGTTTCAATTTTGTCAGAAAAGATAATAATGATTTTAAAAAAGAATATATAGAGATGAAAATTCAAGAGTGAAATCAGTCAAGACATATTCATTAGAGTGATACATACCATAGGATCTAAGTTGGCTATAGGGTGCTCTAAAGTGCATAGCTTCAATTTTGTTTCAATATTGAAAATCTTCTTGGGTTGTAAGCACCGCAAAATCCGACATGCCATACTTTACGGACATAAAGTAACACAACAAAAATATGTCCCCTTGAAATTGAACCTATGCATTCTAGAGCACCCTAGGTCCTATGGTATGTACAAAATATGGCAGGCACGGATAAAAGTGATGGGACCCCTGCAGCCCTAAGGTACCTATACTTCCGATGAAAGGGAAATTACATGCGGGGTACCCCAAGGCTCGTTATTGGGCCCTCTATTATTCTCAATATTTGTAAATGATATGCCCCATAATGTGCACTCATGTGATATAGCATTATATGCCGACGACACATATATTTTTACGTCATCAAAAAACCCAGTCGAAATTTGTAGCAAACTAAATGAAGATCTTTCAAGTTTATCATGCTGGTTAAAAGATAATAAATTAATGGTTAACCCAAACAAATGTGAAGTAATGTTTATAGGCACTCAGCAGCGTTTGAAGAGAATACACGATATTATTGATGATTGTTATATGTATATAGATAATAACGAAATTAAAAGGGCCCAGTCATGTAAATATCTAGGTGTTGTCATTGATCAAAATATGTCATGGAAAAATCAAGTTGATCATGTAAAGAAAAAAGTAATTAAATGTATATATCTCTTTAAAAGATTGCGTCCATACATTAATCAGATCAATGCTTTGACCTTTTATAAATCAATTATTCAATGCCATTTTCATTATTGTAGCGCAGTCTGGGCAAATGCTTTAAAGACTCACCTAAGTCAATTGCAAGTATTACTATTATAGATCACTTCGTATTGTTATGAATGTTGATTATATGTATCCTTCAAATAATTTATATGATACCTTGAAATTAGATCGCTTATATATACGATGGTCCAAACAATTAGCATGTACTATGTATCGTTCTGTTCATAACATTTGTCCACCTTATCTTAGCAGTATCTTTGTAATTCGTGAATCAGTATATTGTACAAGGTCCGGTCCGCATAAATTAAGACTCACTCAACCGAAGACCAATTACGGGAAAAGATCTCTCTCTTATCGGGGAGGGGGGGCCAAGATTTGGAATGAGCTGAATTACCCTATTTCCACCACTGTATCAATTGAAGCCTTTAAGCGTCACATAAATAGTAACCCCATCATCCTGACCATTCTTAGCAGACAGACTTATAACTTCTATATTTAACAAATTAAGCTAAAAATACAAGAACCCCGGTTTTCTTTCTTTTCTTCTTATTCGTAATTTTTTGTTTTGTTACTCCCTTATCCGTTTTTACCATGTATGAAACGTTCCTCCTTTTGTAGTTGCTTTAGTGATGTTTTCTTTGTTGTTGTAGATAGTATACTTTTAGTATATTTTTATTTTTGTATTATGTAAATTATATTTTGTGTCTATTCATTTGTCTATTCTTATGAGTAGCCTATATACATGTATTGATTATTCTGATTGTATGGTTTTTATCTTGGCTTGGACCCCTTTGAAAAACAGCTAATAGCTGACAAGGGCAATCCATCCCATGAGTGGAGAATAAATAAATAAATAAATAAAATAAAAAAATACTCACCGAGATTCGTCAGATGAAAAGGAAGAAATACAGATATAGCGCCCTCGTTAGCTGCCAAGTAGCATATGGTCGGAAGCAGAACGACATTATTTAGACGAGAGAAGACTTTTCCTAGGTTACCAACGTCGGACTCGTTGGGATTATCAAACTGTAAACAATGCAGAAATGCGATGAGAAAAAGAAACGAATACAAGAAACTCGAAATTCCAGGAGTATTTTTTTTTATATGAAAAAGGTGTCTTGGAAGTAACGAAAGTATGTAAACAGAAAACATAATGGTGGGAGGATAAACTTGCTTGATTCTACTCTACATTATGTCAAGTAGGTTAGAAGTAGGTTAAATAGGGGAAGATTATGATTTAAATAAATTATAGCCCATGTCGAAGGGATACGAAGCCGTGAAGACCTCCTCTATAAGCTTTTTTTTTTCAAAAGAAATTTTATTCAATCATTCTTGAGCAAGAACGAAACAATAGATTTGAACAAAGTACATGTTGTGACATATCGGTAAAAAAAAAACATTGTTACATCAGTTGCACATGATTGTCTCCATTTGTCAAGTAATACAACGAATTTATTGTGTTTGATATAAACTTGTTTCTTAAAATAATGCAGGGAAAGAGCCAAACTTCCAATCGAACAATATGTTTGGCTATGAATCCAGAGTTCCAGACCCAATGAAAGTATATGCAAGTTATAGATATTGTTTGTATTGAAAACAAATCGTAGGAATTCAGCACGCATGTCTAACGACCAATAGACCATTTAACAATGTAATCAAATGTAATGCATTAATCTTCCATGTCACAAATTATTTCATTCACCTAGGCAGAATGCCAGTTGCTACTTGATTATGAAAATACAAACAAATAAACAAACATTCGGCGGTTTTACCTTCATATTGATGCAGTAAGCGAAGAGGAGAGCGATGGCGCAAATCGTCGTTCCGAAGAAGATGACGAAAGCGATTCGGTAGTCTTCGACATGGATCTCGATCCCGCATCTCCACCATGTTGATGAGGCCATGTCGATGATGATGGTTATCAGAATGATGCTAAAAAAAAGGATTATAATAATAATAGTCAAATTTGTATAGCGCTGAATTAAAATAGTACGTCTCTAAGGGCTTTATATTGTCATTATTATTATTACCCCGGTAATTGGATTCAATTGCTAATCCGCTGTACATGACGTAGTGCACACGCTCCGCTCCCGAGGGAGGGCAGGGGGGGGTATTCTGGCCAGGACATGATATAACATTATGATGTAACAGGATAATGATATTTAAAACAATATGTCGAATGATAGGTTTCTTTGGTCAAACTCGAGTTTCAGAACCTATTTAGTCATAAAAAGTAATTATGAAGTAAATATATATTCCTTGTTTTGAATATCGTTGACAGGAGGGCTGGGTATCTCGACGGAGTTTGTATGAATAAATAATGAATACCGCCCCCCCCCCCCAATTTCAATATACATGTAGATATGACCTGGCGCCTTTACAGGGTTTGAATGGATTTCAAAGAAATACCAATTTATTATGACCAGCTGAAACGCATCCGCTCGCTTCTGCCAAGAGGAGAGGAGCGCGTCAGTGATAAAAACTAGTAATAAAAATATGTCACTTATGAGAAAATCATGTTTTTACAGCAGACCATCTGCAGATGTTTGCATTTCTAATGAAATAAGTCAGCAAGACAAGGATGGATAGATAATGTGACTTTGCCAAAAACATATTTAGGAGTAAAAGCAAAAAAAATGAATGTGTCATGTTTTATCAATATTCTTCCATTTCTTAGTATGTCTTATAATGTATTATATTAGTACATTTCCGTTCCACTGTCTGCCTAGGTAGTTGGTGAACCCCATGACCTGCTGCCTTGGTGGGAAAAAGATAACGAGTTTTTTGTTTTCTTCCTGACAGTTGTCTTCATTTCGACTTTAAAAATTCATGGCAAGCGACGAAAGCTCCCATTATGATAATAATGCCACTTTTCCCGAATATAACTCTCTTTGGGACAAAAATAATATGGGATATTTGGAAACTTTATTTCCTTCGGTCTTTTCAGCTGTTTTGTCTGGTCTGCATATAATTCTAAAGACGCACTTAGGTCCCAGTCACTCTCTGAGGAAAAATTGAAAGATAAAGTGGAGTTCCGGGCCCCGTTTCATACAACTTGATATCAATAACAAGTTACAATATCTGTTATAAGCCACTGAAATCCTGGCATCTGATTGGCTGAGATCAAATTTGTCATGGAAATTAACAACTTTTATGAAACAGGGTCCTTTACACTTCTTTTCCTATCCGAATATGAGGATATTTAAAGTGCAATCCTTTTCAGGGGACTTATTGATCTACTATGATATTTCTACTATTATTATTTCCCAATTAAGAAAACAAAAAAAAATGAGAAAGCTCAAAAACTATGAGAAGAAGGAGGAGGAGGAACAGAAAAAGTAGGAGAAGAAGAAGACGAAAAAGAAGGGAAAAGGAAAAAAGAAGAAGAACTAAAACAACAACAACAAAAATGTGGAGGGGGTAGAGGAGGGGATGTGGAGATGGAGAAGAGGGGGAGATGGAGGGGATAGGGGACTGAAATGAGAATGGGGGGGGGGGGATAAGAAGACAATGGAGGGGAAGGGGAATGAGATGTTATGGGAAAGGGGAAATGGAGGGGAAGGATGAGAGTGGACGGGGAATGGGAGTCGGATGGGTATTTTGTATCATAGGGAATACCTAGATCGAATCTAAAAAAGAGTAAGAGTGACTCACTAGATTGCGAAGGATGCCTTCCCAAAGGCCGCCTGCCACCCATACTCGCGACTCCTATTCGGCCCCAAGGTCTGAAGGGTGGACGTGTCCGTCAACGACAGCGTAGGACCCAGCATCACGTGGGCCACCGTGATCAAAGCGAATATGGAAAAGAACGATGACGCCAGGCTATCCCGCTCGAAGATCCAACCCGCGTACGTTGAACTCGGCCCTGTTCAAGAAAAAATCAAAATGGCGATCGCAATAATGTGATGGTAGGTTTTTTAAGTTTTTGAATTATGAACTTGTACTTCATGGGAATAAATCGCTCTCAAAAGAAAAGGGACGCACATTCTTTCTCATATTTTTAAAGTAATGTCTACAAAACAGATCATCAGATGCGATTTTGTAAGGTGTTTGTATTTCTCTGATAAGAAAAAAAAATCGTGGGACGCGGGACATTTCATAATGGGTCCTATTCCTCCTTTCCAAATCGTGTATGTGCGTTAGCGTGTGTGTGGGCGTGTGGTTGTGTATCTAACTCTGTTCCGGAATTTTCATGGAACAAATTAAACTTCGAACTTGTAACTTCCATGGTATTTGTAATTCAACCACCCAACTCTAAGACCGTTGTCACCCAACGGTGCCAGAGCCCCTTCGACACTTCTGACCAATCCCGTCGAGATCCAACACATGCTATATATTTCACAATCCTACAAAATGAACTCTTAAAGGAAGTCGTGTGGACCGAGAGACTTGACAGATCAGCTCGATAATGGTATCAGTTATAATGACTCAAAACACACACCAAACACCACTGTGCATACACTTTGTTGACACGTTTCGCAGGGTGAACAAACTTCAGCCGATAAAGAGCATGTTTACATGTAAATAATACAAGCTTGATCAATGAAGATTTGTTGCTGGACGCCAATTTTTAAAGCTTTATGGAAGGAGTGGTGGCGCCCATGTAAAGCTTACAAATGAGTCAATTTTTTTTTTTTTTTTTTTTTTGGGGGGGGGGGGGGTAGGGGACACTTCCTTGGAGACCAACAAACCAACAAGTCTTATCATTCGGTTTTTATATTTTGATTTGTTTGTTTGATTTGTTTTAATGCGTATACAAGGTGAAGTACAAAAACTAGAAATGCATTCCACGGTCTCCTTTTTCTCGACTTCATTTGCCAATTATAATGATAGTTTTGTACTTTTGTTGAATTCTAAGGTAACGTCTCTATTACTAGGGATAGTGTCTCTGGTAGGTCCATGCTCTTACATGCCACAATAAGTTACATGTCGTTTTGTCAGTTTTGAATCTATACAACCTAAAGGAAAACAAATCCATACATTTTCAATCGTCAAAATACAATGTCAAAGATTAGACTCTCTAAAACCTCATACAGCATTGTGTATGGCCGTATTACAGCTATGTATGCAAACAAATCCATCACGTTTTAATGGCAAAATATGTTAATAGAATTTTGTGGTTTGACAGAATAAAGGAAACAATACACAACCCACGGGATTTCCGAATTGAATAGTACCGTTTGACAAACCACCGAGACCGATTTCAGGCTTAAAGGTACATGTAGTGTATCCCTTTTGCAGCCAACATCAAATTCTGTAGAACTTTGCATGAATTATGAATATGTCACGTATGTCCTATCTGTGGAATGTAAACGTTAGCAGTGTCCTATTATCAAATCATGCAAGGAACCCGTTTATTTTCTAGACTTCACTGTCGGCTACTATTGAGTGACTGACTGACTTTTTTCTTTGGTAATAGCATACATAAATTGAGCTATAAAATAATAATAATAATAATAGTGGGTTCTTGTATAGCGCTCATGTCAGTCAGATTTGACCCTCCTGGCGCTCCCGATTAAAGGGTACAGGAACATTTGTTTACCTCAATAACCCACTTCTTGTAATGGCCAAAATCAAACTGATTGAATCATTGCGCAGAACAAAACGTACGGTCATTTTTTTTTACTTTTTACTACTGTTTTTACTTTCAATGTGTAAATTATTGGCACCCTTCCCTTAATTACGACACACTTGAATAAGTTTGGAAGAATCTTCAAGGTTTAATGAAGCAGACTCCACCTAAGAAGAAGAAAGAAGAAGATGAGCCCGTCACCATGATTGCACTTACCGTCTACATCCGCGCCTCCCGGTACATGGTTAGCTCCCCAGAATCTTCCTCCTGGGTAACACTCTTCAGTTTTCTCTGTCCAGGGTGTGTTTACTATGTGAAGAATGCTTAACCAAGACGGGTTACTTGTCGCAGCAGTTACGTTATCAGAGATCATGCACTTTGCATTACTCTCGTGGTAATTCCGCACCAAGCCAGTCGCCACACCCGAGTGCACCTTCAATGACGATGAGGCGGAGGACGATGGCATCATCATCGATTTTGCTGAGATATTCAATTTCGCTATCGTGTCCTGAAACTGATTTCTGGCAAGTCTGCAGGTGGTGAGTTGTGGAGATGGGATGAAGTTGACGGAGAGAGAAAAGAAGACCCAGAGGCATAGGGCGAGGAGAAGCATCTCTTTTCGACAGCGGAACTTGTCGGCGATGTAGCCGCACAGTGGCGTCGACATGCTCGAGATGAAACGAGGTAGCGCGTAGATGAACGCTAATTGGAGAGGATTCACACCAACTTGGAGAGCGTAGAATGAGATATACATCGTCAGGCAAGCCTCACCACCACGTATAAAGATATAAAGCAGCTTAAAAGGCGCCAAAGTCTCATTACACTTGTGAATACATTTCGTGAAGTATCGTCCGAACCCACTTTCATTGCTATCGTCTGCGCTGTATTTCTTGCAATTGTCGCTGACCTTGCGCGCGCCATTTTTCTCGCGCTTTACGTCCTTCAGTTCCTGCTCTTGGAGAAGCTGCTCCAGGGTGTAGGTATAGACGGTGAGGAGGCGTGATCGTTGCTCGCCCTCATTCACGAGTTCGACGCGCTCGGTCTTTGGAGGATGGGACCCCAATGACGACCCGTCGATGACCGTACCGGCGGACATGTCTGAAGACGGATCGAGGAATTGTTGAAATCGTTGAGGTTCTTAGTATGTATGTGTGGTGTTAAATCCGTCGTAAGCTTGCTTCTGTTTGCTTATTGTCATCTGCAAGAAGGGGAAAGTGAAAGAAATATAAAATGAACGGATTAAAAAATGGCTTTATTCTTCCCTCACCATACCACTTTACTCCTTTAAAATGTATCTCTCAACTTACGCCTCGACGTTTTGGTGTGAGTCGCTATTTATCTCTATTCTCTACTTTGAATTGAATTGAATTGAATTGAATTGAATTGAATTGAAATTTATTTCCATCATCACAACAATATATACAAAGATAAAGTATGGAATTTCATAACATGTAACAATATCAAAATTACATATAAATTGACATAACAGCATTCAAAATATAAATGGAAAATGGTGCATCCGTAAAAGCCAGTAAGGCTTGACAATTGAATGCACCAGGCGCAGAATTAATAATAACATATACTTGAAGAAGAAAAAAAAAAAAAAAAAAAAAAAAAAAAAAAAGGAGTATTAGTAATATAGGTGTGGTCTTAAAATAAATTATGCGTTATAAAGAGAGAGAAGATGTTTCTTGTAAAGTCTTTTGAAAGAATTATTAAATCCAACAGATTGTAAAAATGGAGGTAGGGAATTCCACATTTTTGGACCAACATAACGGAGAGAATCGGTTAGTATATTGGACGAAGCATTCCAATGATGGAATTTATCAGCATTTCTTGTGTAGTGGGTATGGACCACATTGTTAAGACTAAATAGGTGCATAAGGTTTGGAGGTAGTGAGTTTGAGAAAAATCGTTGCATCAATGAGGCAATTTGCAATTTATTAATATCATAAATATGTAAAGTATTGAATTTTCTAAATAAAGGTTGTGAGGGAGCTATGACTGTGTATAGTCTTCTCTCTTTCTCTCACACGAGTCACACCCACACAACTACACATACGCCTACATAATGTACTACGTTTAGAGTCAGGCATTCATCCTCTCTCTCTCTCTCTCTCTCTTTCTCTGCTCCCCCCTCTCTCTCTCTCTCTCTCTCCGTCCCCCTTCTCTCTCTCTCTCTCTTTCTCGGTCTCTCTTTCTCTCCTCTATCTAACTGCTATGTTGTTAATCCATCTTTCTTCTAAATTGAATATTGAACATTGAGAGATATGAACATTACTGCATGGGTAAGGACAATTTTTCATTTCTTACTTACACGGTGAGTTTAATACAATTAAAACTCGATATTCCATGTCTAGTTTCAAGGTATTGGGGTTCATGTTTTCTCTGCTTTTCTCTTCCCTTTTTCTATTCTCAACAATATACAATGTATCGTTTTTAAGGGGTTGACATTCATGAAACCCCCACATTCTGGTGATCAGACATTTATTTTGCTCCGTGGTTTCATCAAAGATTAAGGGTTAAGGTTGCAATTGCGTTGGGGTTAGGATCTTGCGCAAGGGATGAAGTCGTGTTTTAGGTTAAGATTTTTGTTTTGATTTGATTTATTTTTCCACTCAAATATCCACAAGTTGAATGACATATTATAAACCATACAGTATTACAATATATAATAGAACAAAAGAATTATACGAGTAACGAAATACTGATTGACAAGTATGTTCGTAACAAAAAAAGTTTACAGAGTACATTTAAGTTTGAGAATAAGACAAAATATGTTAAATTGCTTTAGGGTAAGAGTTAGGTATAGTGGCATACATTGTTTGGTTCAACGTTAAAGTTAAGTATTTGGTAGGTGTATGGATTTTGCCGTGGAACAATTACCGCCCGAAAGTATGTCATTATACCGTATGATGAGATACTTACCCCCACGCTCTTTTCTTTTAAATATTGTACATTTCTGTCGTTGCAACGTTATCTCAATATTTCCTTCCAATAAAACACGCTGTTTAAATATCTTCAAAAGTTATTCAATTTTTTTTCTTCAGCGTTTATTAACAATATCTAAATTTTAAACGGCATCAGAGAAGTGACTAAGTCAATATGTGGTCTTCCAGATCATAGTATTATTAAAGGGATCTTTTAACAATGTTAAATCTGAGATGCACGGCCCTACGTTTTATCAGTGTCTGTGATATGGTGTTATATTGAAGCCCTAACAAAATTGATCAAAAAAACAAACAAAAACCTTTGAGTGACTGGTTTTAACATACTCGTTTTTTTCCAATAGACTGTAGTGTTATGAAAACCGTTTGGCAAACGCAAAATTTGATTTCGATTTTCAATCATAAATATCTTGATAATCAGACAGGCGATCGGCTTGTAAAAGTCATGGGGTTCCTGACTGACCTAAAGGGTTATAATCATCATTGCAGCATGAGCTATGAGGATCTAAGACAAAGTTACCGGATCCCTTTAAACTCAGCCTTTTGCATGGCAATATGACGTGGGTGAGAAAAGAGACCGACTTTGTCAATATTGATCATCAGTCACACATTTCATATTTGTCGACAATTGACTTTGGAGGGGGATAAGGGTGGCTGAATCAAACGTTTATACCAGTGAGAAAAAAATGTCTAGCCTTTCTTGCATATAACATTTTCTTTTTCTTCTTTTACTCGTAATGCTCGGTCTAGATTTGCTACATCTATAAAGGAAACAACAGGTATTTATCCTGTGTATATTTTGTGAATATATACATCCTATGGCACTGCAACAAAATAAATAATGATGATAATGACGATGATGGTGTTATTGATGATGACGATGGTGTTGGTAGTGATAATGACGACGACGACGATGATGGTGCTATTGGTGGGGATGATGATTATGATGATGATGATTATTATTATGATGATGATGATGGTGATGATGCTTGTGATGATGATTATGATGATGATGGGGGGGGGGGGGCGGAATTTGAAACATAGGCACAGGGCAACACATTTCCACAAGGCCTAGCACAATTGTACTGGCGACTAAAATTAGGCCTACATATGTAAACAATTTCATTTTAGGCGAAGACGTGTCCATGTCTAAATTGTGCATGGTAAAGTCTTCACTTTATTGGAAATTGTGTATAAATAAATATATATATATAAATGCTCATAGCTAAAAGGATCATCATTAACTATGTTAATATCCCGCCTCCTTAGTGTTTTCTTGACAGCTCTGAAACTTTGAGGAAAAATCACGAAGGATGAAAAGGGGTAAAAATTCATTTTAATGGGGGACACTTTAAGCAGTTACACAAATTCAATTCTTACTGCGGTACGAATAACCAACACATTACAGAAACCATCATAACTTTAATAATTTCAAGAAAATATTGACCTACATATTGTCAGTATCATCTTTTGGACTGGTTTTCTATCATATTTTCTTAACATTGAATTGTGTCTTTAAACACAATCCATGATAAGGAAAATAGAATAGAAGCGAATTACTCTCTCATAATTTGACTACATGTATACATCAAATAATGAAATAACACTGCAAATAAATGTATGATATTCACTGCAATTAGTTTATGCAATACAGGAAATAATTGACTACAATTTTTTCGAGTAAATATATGGAAATATTGAAATATAGAAACAGATGTTTACAATAAATGTCTATAAGGTAAAATATTTCCAAGGTTCGAATTTCAAATGAGGCTATACATCCGATACTGCGTATGGTATGTTACAACTGCATGAATTCTGTATTTAAACAATGTTGTAAATAGCTGTTATTTTATGATATGAACAAATAAAGTCCCTCGAAAGAGGATAAATAGAAGAAAAAAATACATCCGATATTCATGATATTGTGAATATGAGAGCTTTTGGTGTCATTTATGATTCCAGTTTCAAATGATTAGTCAAAGAGGCGTGTGTTTTTACTGGTCAGTCTGCTAGTCTGCCATTTTATCTTGTTGAATGCTATTGGGATTTCATATTCATGTGATCAGCTTTGTGTGAAAGTGTTGTTTTTTTAGAAATATGTATACGAATAGTGCGATACGGTATAGAAGCTAAATAACCTCATACATAATGACGTAACAAATAAAAGAGACAGATGTTCGCAGGAGCATAGTGAAAGTGGCTGGTAGTCGTTTGGGGCGAGAGGGGAAGGGCCGGGGTTCTGTCTCTTATGCCTCAGTCACACCTTTGCGTATTTGGCTTGCGTATTGCTGCGTATTTCTGGCAAGCCGTTTTAACATTTATTCCTATTTCTTGGTATCAAGAATTGATTTTCTGTTGTAAAGCAATGGTACTTCTTGATATCAAGAATTCGATTTCTTGTTATCAAGGATTTATTTCTCGATATCAAGAATTCAATACTTGATAGGCCTATCAAGAAAAAGGAATACATGTAAACACGGCTTGCCATTAATACGCAGCAATACACGAGCCAAACACGCAGAGGTGTGACTGAGGCTTCAGGTCTCAGTGCGTTCCGTAGAAATATATATCCCTTTAGAGTGAGAATTTTTTTTGATTCATTCGTCCTTGTTTATGCTCTTATCAAAGAAAAGGCCTTGTTGAAAAGCAGCTCTCAGATGGCATAATTTTGTCACCATGTACATGTATACAAAAATAAACTTAATCTCAAGGGAGTGTTTGCTTGGTACAGACGGGTATCGGTTGATGCTGTTAACTTGCGTCTGGAGACCGAGGGATTTGAACCCTAAGGCCGGTGAGCCAACCATCAATTTACATAATTTTTGATGAAGAATACCGATTTCTATATCTCTAAATTCATTCATCAGAATAACGGGTAATTTGAAGGGCAGTTAAATATGGATATATCCAATTGCACTCTTGGGAGAGTGATGGCTGCAAGACTTAAATGGTATTATTGAAAACAAGAAACCTCTTTTTAGGGGTTATTTCTCTGTAAAATACGATAGCGAAATCAATACAAGGCAAATATCAATCGCCTTGTCTATCATATTTTGAAATGTGCGAACATTACATTGAAATGTTACACAGTCTGATGATTTATGTAGAAAATATAATAGGGTTTTGATATTTGAATTTATTGCTTGGAAAATCTTTATCTTGTTCTCGACATGTTGGATAAAAATGGATACATAGAATTGTACTCTTGACAGACCATGCAAATGCTGCATGGCTTATGCATAATCTCAAAAGTCTCTTTGAATCGATGCTCATTTCTCTTTACATAGATTTATACAAGGCAACTACAGAAGGGGCTGTGCATGCACAGAATAAAAAAATACTTCGCGGAGAGCCCAGAACCGTCCGATAACCTCAGTTGCATTTTAAAGTACAAATTAATGCATTCTTCAATCATAACATCGAAAGGGTTTTACATGTACTCTCCTCTCCAATTTGCTGTTTTGATTTCAGACTTATATACATGAGCATAACGTGACATTGATTGTTTTCTTTATCTTTTTCTCATTTGCTTGCAATTATGTTATATCTTGCTATTCTGTGAGATGTATCTATGTAATGTAACATGCTTTGGAGAAGAAGGCTTTCGGGTAAAATCGGGTTGTAATCATTTAGCAAACCGTTTCTTTTCCCGGCATCCATGTGTCTCCTTTCAAATCTTACAGTTATTTCGTATCCACTGTTTTCTTGATTTTGTCTTTGCCGAATAAATGATCAGAAAAACAACAACAATAATGATGATGATGTTTATGATGATGATGATATGATAATGACCATAATGATAAAAAATGATAGAATAATCGAGTCCTCTTCGAACGAAATTGTACAAATTACCCGCTGAGAAAAATCTGACTGAATACACATTTTTTAATGATTACCCCCCTCAACCCTCAACCCTTATAATCCAAGAGGAATTTAAAGGCACAAATCAATGTATTCGTTGTATTGTAACGTCGAAGTATAACTCAGTAAAAATCAACTCATTTGTAGCACGATGCTTACATATGAAAATATATGCAGTTTTGTATAACTTTGCAAAGTTCTCACTCAGAAAACACTGCTAGCAGATGGAATATACTCAGTTTTCATGATTAGCCCTATTAAAGTCCTTATAACCCCAGAGGAATTACAAAGCACAACTCAATACATTCATCATATTGTGAAATCTAAGTATAAATTTGGGTACATAGTATCAGTATAACTCATTCATGTACCAATATTTGTGTACACATAACTTTCGAGATCCCCCTCTGCATACAAATGAAATCAATATTCAGTTGCATAATTATGAGTCTGCATATAAAATTCCATATTTACTAAAAAAAGAAACACAAATAAACATACCAGCTTTCGTGGAAAGCCCATAAACCCTAACCCTCCTGGTTGAATTTGATTTAAAAAATGTTATAGGATTCATGATAATAACACAAGTTCGTAACCTGTAAAAAGTTTGATATTACAGCCCCAACTAGGCGTTGTGGCGTGCGCCTGTAATCCAGCTAACAGTGGAAGTTACAAAATGATTCAGCCGAGGACACAGGTTCGAAACTGAGTCACATCTTTCGGATGGTGACGTTTAAAGGTCGGTCCCCAGACGTAAATATCTGATTGACACACGTCTGTAAAAACACAATACACGCAAGTGTGCTAAGAGGAATACAAAATCGAAATATTTATAATCTAGTTAGGAATGTCGAGTAAACAATTCAGTGAGGAGAAGAATTGACTTACCTAACATGTATGTCATGATGTGTGGCTATATTCTCCATATTCATCGGGTACAGGAGGCGGTAGAAACCGCTCTTTTCCACCACAAATCCGCCTCACGAATGAAGGTTTCTGTTTTATGCATAATATGTTAATGATAAAAAAAAAGCGTATTACGTGCTATGTGCATGCACGGATTAGTAACTCCATGGTGCATGTGTGTCTCCGTAGGTGACAAAACCCACACTTTTAGCGTGGGCAGAGAATCCAGTCCTCCCTTCTCTGTAGAAACCACGAAATCCTTTGAAATTCCTGACTTAACTCGCTCCGCCTCAGACATTCACAATAGGCTCAACACACCCCAGTGATTGACAAAGGGCCGCCCTCCTCATCAGGTATTTGGGCTATTTCCACAATAAAAACGATTTTCAGTAAAAAGCTATTATGCTCGTGGTTCGTACTTGCGCAAAATGTATTCAATCCGAGTAAATAGCGGTATCAAAATTGGATTAGCCATAGTTTCTTAAACTGAACTGGCTACATTGCTTACGTGTATAGTTTTGTTTCGTCTCTTCCGCGACCTATTAATCTTCTTGGCAAACAGTTTTATAGAGTGTGGGAGTAATAACGAAATGAGTGTTTAAATAATGAGTAAGCCGACGATTAAGCTGGTTATAATTGGCTGCGTCTACACGGCATGAGCGAACCTGATATCAATTCATGGTTATTCAGTTATTCTGGTTTAGATTACTGCGGTCAATATATAACACTGACAAAAAATAACCCTCTCTGATACCACAAACCAAATTCAATTTAATTGGTATATTCAAGCTTTTTTGCATATTACAAGCAAGGCAAAACACAGTCCATACTGTCTGCCTTTACGCAATAGAAAAAAGAAAGAAATTTATGTTGAGAGTCAAGTGGAAATACTGATCTGCATCAATTCATAACGCAATATGAAGGTATATAGCATATACATATATATATATATATATATATATATATGTGTATACATGTATGTGTGTATGTATATATATATATACATAAAGATGTCTGAAGTGTGTCTGGGTGGTAATGTGTGCGTGTAGACGTTATAATGCTTCAATCATTGCTCTTTCATTTTGATAAAATTTCGGCTCGCTGTGTATGATGAAATAAATCACAGTTCAGTCTTTCTTTAATCGTACAGAGTCGGATTTTCATACTACTGTGCCCTCTCGACGAAAAGTGGAAAGAATCCTACCAGCATAACAATCTGTAATTATAGAAAGAGGGGTCGTAGAACAACTCTTCAAGTGGGGGTACTAAATTATCTCTAACCCAAATGGCGGCAGCTGCGTTTATGATCCAGACTGGGAGGCGTGATGGCTCAGTGGTAGAGCAGTAACCGTGTAACCCGGAGGTCACGGGTTCGAAGCCAAGGAAATGGGTGAGTACCTTTAGGTAAGGCAATAAAAGTCCCTCGGAAAGGACTTACGGTCGTAGAACCGCTTGATGCTTACTTATTCAAACACTGGAGGCACGTGAACTTCAATTCTCCAATAATTGGAAATCAAGAATATTTCACAGCACAATGTAGTTGCATATTCATATAACATTTATTCCGTTTAAAAAATATACCTGTATTCATCAGGAACGTGATTCTTCGAGGTACGGGAGGTCCTGGGTTCAATTCCCACACATGACAAGCAATTTGTTAAGTTATAGGGCACTCAAAGACTTATGTTACGTCAATAAAAAATTGTTCCTCGACTTAATACCGTTCACCATGATGAATTAATAAAAATCAGCCCAAAATCAAGTGATCAATTTTCATGATTACCTCAAATCAATGTAGGTTTATTCATCAAAAGAATGAATATTCAAAGTACAATGCATTTTCATATTCATAACATATGTTACATGCATTCAGAACTGAATAAAATGAAATTACTGACCTGGAATGATCTGAAATAACCAATGCATTAGTGATTGATGATCAATCATTACCTGACTGAGTCGTGGACAAATATGATTCTGCTTACTGGCCGTAACTTTATCCTCTCATAAATAACGTGCTAGATATGCTGGGTAAATATTTACTCAGCAAATATAAACTCGATATCAGATATTGAAGATAACTTACCAAATGACATTTTATAAAGAAATATATAAATGAAATCACAGAACTGAAATAGTTGGAAATAAATTGTATTAATAATTCGATGATCAATTATTGGGTGACTGGGTCATGGACCAAATATATTCTGCGTTTGGAACTTAAATGGCCATTAACTTATCCTCTCATAAATAAGGTACTTAATATGCAGGGTACGATTTACTCACCAAATAGATATTCGATATCAGATATTGAAGATAACTTACAGAATTATGTTCTATAAATATATTATTTCGATCAAATATATAAATGAGAAAATACACTCTGAAGTGAAAGCTCATCTCAAAATTCAGGGTGTTTAATTATAAACTTTTGAACAGCACTGTGTTCAACTACTTTAGTTTAATGTGATAACAAGTTTATATTTATACTATTCAATTTCATCTGCAATATGTAAAACATATCGATTACGATATTCGAACAAAGGATGACACAGTGTATCTCTCGGCATTGATGCCTTCGGACTTCCATTGAATTCAATCTGTTTGACAGACAGATCTTGTCATTTGTGGAATGATTTCAAGAATTTTAGAACTAACAGAGATCTATCCTCAATACAGATTTAATTTCGAATACCGAACAAGTCCGAAGGGTGAGAGTTCAATCAATACTGAGAGATATTCTGCGTCCTAAATAGCTATATATATATGTATATTATACAAATAATGAATGGTTATGAGTGCAACAGTGCGAATATTTTCATGAGTTGAAAGATTAACATTCTATTCAACGAGGCGTTAGCCGAGTTGAATAGAATTAAAGTTAATCTTTCAACGAATGAAAATATTCGCACCATTGAACGAATGAAAAACATTCATTATTTGTTTTATACAACATCGAAGAAGATCTAATAGAACGTTTATCAACAAATTATGCTTTACTCCTTATATTAAAGATAAATTAAAGTTAGAGTCAAGCCTTCTCGATTACATTCAGATTGCCTTCGCGTCAGATACACGCAGGGATACGCGTGCGCACGGCTGAGAGGTACGCAGTTTGCATATAACCAAAAATGCACGGCGCATATAACCAAAAATGCACGACCGTGCAATATAACATCTATTGAATATCATGTGACCAACAATCCTCCAATCAAATGACAATGATCCACGTAGGTGTTGTATAAATAGTTATATTTGTATATATTAGAAAATATATCAATTCACAACGCTACATGAAATACACAAAGAGCATAGATTGAACTTCACAAGAGATCAGATGCTATTTTAGGCCGTTTTTTTTTTTTTTGTTGGTTTTTCACATATAATATTAGAAAATATATCAATTCACAACGCTACATGAAATACACAAAGAGCATAGATTGAACTTCACAAGAGATCAGATGCTTAAGCAAGTGGCATGCTATTTTAAAGGGGGTTCGCTTCTACCTTTATATTTTTAACCATATCCATATTTGCATAACGTTGTAGTATTTTTTTTGAATTTATAGATTTTTATTATAACGCTGTGGCGTTTGATAGATGGAATATTACACGTAATTTGAACTGATATGAAACAAAATCATATTATTCATTCTTAACGGTCGTAATGAAAGATATAAAATGTTTGCATGATGTATAATAACAATTAATCAAGAAATATGATTTAAAAATGGTCGTGGTTTACTCAAAATAAGGGAGTTTTAAGTGATTGAGGTATTGTGATAACTACAAGAGTGTATTAATATATAAAATTATATTCTATACACCCTGCTTGACAATGGTAAGTGACGGGTATTTTAGATAAATCAATTTGGGGAAATGTGTTTACTCACGCGTTACTAATAAACAAGATTTACTGTAAAAAAAAGAGGAAATCAACGAACAAGAATCTTACAAAAAGAGCAATCTTCATGATATGCAACAAATGAGGATTGAATCTCATCCAAATAAAAGATCTTTATGAAATCATCATCACGCCATCAGCTGGATATTGATGATTCGCTCTGATAATGGACGCGAAAAACCATCCTGAATTGGCATTATCGTTCACTTAGGCATTCATGGGCAAAGTAACGACTTGCAACGAGGGGACCATTATCATCCTAATATACGGCGGGAAAGACGCTTCGACGATAGCAACCACAAACTCGGGCACGAACTGTGATTGCTCCGCCACAGAAATTATTCAAACCAATATAAAATTAAGAAATAAATAAAAAAGAAAGGAGAAAAAAAGAAGAGGAAAAAAACGAGAAGAAGAAGGAGGAGAAGAAGAAGAAGAAGTAGGAGAAAACGAGAAGAAGAAGGAAGATGAGGAGAAGAAGCGATAACAAACAAATCCGCATCGTCTGCTCGCGGGATCGCGGGATGCATAATTTTTTAGTTCAATGATAATTTAAACTGACGTAACTATAACGGCGGTGTGCTTCTAGCGAGTGCATTTTTTGCGATGCTTCCATTTGGTGGATGATCATGGCCTGAGTGGCATTATTACAATCACATGTCATCCCGATATCTATAGAGCAGCGAGGAACATTCCATCACCTGCGATATTAGGGAGAAGCGCCGCTTTAGGCGACCGCCAAGATTTTCCGTTTGCGGTAAGTAAGCTTTTTCGGTGTATATACATTTCATTTTCGTTTTTTCCTCTTTGGGGGTTGCTTCATTTGCCAGTCACCATGCTTTAGATGTGTGTAATAATGTATTAAATTTACCTATTTTTATCTTTTGAACTACAATTATCAGAACACAAATTGCATGAATAAGTTGTTGTTCTTCTGGTGGAAGGTTTTGCATATATAAAATAGATTTGTCAATTGCTTTACTTTAGAATTTGTAAATAAATGAGTTCCAAATATATTATATAATTTTCACCGAATATTTCATTCTCATTCTTATTTATTTACTTAAGCACGGAGCCCTACCTCAGCCCGCGGACTGTTCTTCCGTAGGGCCGTGCATATACATAAAAACATACAATATCAAAATAACATATATACAACATAATTCAACATAATAATGATAACATAAATATATACAACATAATTCAACATAATAATGATAACATAAATATGTACAAAACCAATATAACATACACTAAAAATACATACGAAATTTTTAAAGGGGACGGGGATAACTCATTAAGGGCTCTATAATTTTTACATTCTCAGCTATAACTTTCCCTCATTGAAAATTCAAGGTGTTTTTAAATCAAATTAAAAAGTCTT